AAAAAAAAAAAGGAGATAGAGAGAGATTGTTCACACATTCAGATTTGGTTTTGAATAATTTGATGAGCAGGCTAGTATGAAATTTAGGCTGATAAAGGCCGCACTTTTCTGCTTGAGTAGGCACATGTTGCATAAGATGTTCACAAATTAGGTAAGCCTATCAGATATGAGAGGTCACGGATGGCTGGATAGGTATTGTGAAGTTCTAGTAGGTCTCGTTTTATGTCGGTTTGGGTGCTTGAAGTAATTGCATGCTTGTGCTGTGGTCCTCAAGGACATCTTTGAAAAAAGTAAATTAGTGAAGGTTATCAGCACCTGATGGGTTTGGTTATATAGAAAGTTGTTTCAATTATCATTTGGGGGATTTGGACTGAGATAAATTGCTGTATTTTTTGAGGAAAAGTGCAAGTAGTAGTTGATTTACACGACCGGGGAATACTTTTTGCATCTTTATGAGTTTCTATAGTTTGGGAGTGCAAGTGGTGTACCCTTTTTCTTTTACTGTACTTGGGCAGAAGGATTTGTTGTATTCTTGATAAATTCTCTTTATTGTATTAGAGCATACCTTTTACTCTTGATTAATAAACAAAAGAATGTTTCTTATCAGACAAATTGCCATTATATTACTTTTACTTCTATATGTCCTTGAAAACTGGGGAAGATATTGTTCATTTGCTTCTATTTTTTCCTTTCTAGGGGATAATGGTTTTCTATGTTCCGTTTGCAGTTTTACGAATGGAGCAGGATGTCGAAAAGTTCATTAGAGATCCTACTAGAGATCAGATGGAATTCCAACAGCTGCCTACTTCTTACTTGAGGTTGGCTGCACATCGTGTGGCCCAGCACTATTCGCTGCAGTCTATGGTTTTATTGGATAATTCGCCTGATGGCTCTGGTTCCCGAATTATTATACGCAAAACGGATAATATTCGCCTTCCTTCTATCCGTCTTGCTGAAATTCCTGTTAAGCTACCAACGGATGATGGTGTTGTTAAGGTTGCAATCAAGCAAAGGCCACAGAAAGGGTCACAAACTTTAAGTTCTAATTCACACTCTTCAAAATCCAGTGGTTCTAAAAGCGTTGAGGAAAGAAAGGAGGAGTATAATAGGGCTCGAGCACGGATATTTAGTTCCAATAGTTCTAGTGGGAATTCCAGTTGGAAACCTGAAAACGAGCCAAGGATGAAAGACAGTTTCCAGCAAGGTTCGTCCAGGATATCAAACATTGAAGAGAGATATTTTCCCGGAGGTGGGCCTGATCCTATTCGTAGAAGTTTGTCTGATTGTTCTACAGTTAGCAGTAGATCACCTGTCAGTAGGACAGAGGAGTCCATTGGTAGGTTCAAAACTAATAATAGGGTGGCTATTTTTCGGGACCGTGAAGTTGATCGTGCAGATCCTGATTATGACAGGAGCTATGACAGGTCTCTCTCTCTCTCTCTCTCTCTCTCTCTTGCGCACACGCACATACACACATAACTCACACAGATAAGTCACAAATATTTTACGTATCAGTATGGATTTCTTTCTTTATTTTTGAGCACGACTGACAACCAGATTTTCTTGAATATATGAAGCTTAGCTATCAATATGTGTCTGTCTTAAGCAGTCTTTCCATATATATATATATATATTTTTTTTTTTGGTGAGCTGCACACTTGCATTCGATGGTTTAATTTATTGATTAAATATGAAACGTCATAATATATATCTGCAGTAAATTGTCCCCTTGAATGGCATTTGCTTGATTGTGTTTGGAACTTTCAACTTGCTTTGAATGTTTCAATCACGAGCTGGATAAAAGTTTTTATTTTTATCAATTGAGATATAGCTGGTTGAAAATAGTCAAAAGTATATGTTGTCTACAAGCAGTCTGGTATGATAATTTGGTATTTTTCTCAGATATACGCAAAGATTTGATCCTGGTTTTGGATATAATGGCGGCCCATATGCCATTCAGCCTATGTATGCACCTGCTTTGAACTATAACACTGAATTTCCACAGCTTGGATCAAGTCATAGACCTCCAATTTCTGCTGAACACCAACCTCATCCCATTCCCCAACATCTACCTGGGCCATGGGTTGCATCATCAACTCCTGCTGGTATTGGGTATGGTCCACCAGAGACAATGATGACTCAATTTAGTCCTAGTCATGTCGGTGCACGCACCAACTCTGCTCTCTACTTGCACTCTGCCCAGTATCCTTCTCACCACTCTGGAATGCCGCTTATCCGTCCCCATGAAGCAATTCACCAACCTTTTCCACAGGTATGATGAATGTCAACATTCTTATCTATTTTTATGGTCCTATTGATTGGTGACTGGCCAATTGGTTTACCTTTTACCATATTTACCCCTCTGCACTCCAACCCAACTGCTTGAAGCATAGATCCTTGATGCAATGCTTTTGATGTCTAGTTTGGAATACTTGCAACGGTTTGTCAATTGGACTTCAAGTATGTTATAGGTTTTTTTAAATTTTTTACTTTCTGACTCTGAGTCAGACGACATTGGCATGTCAAGGACATAAAACCCTGTTTTGTAAGTTTTGGAATACTTAATTACTGCAAATTTAATCTTAAATAGTTTGTTTAAGAAAGTCAAATGATGTGAGAAAAATATGTACTTCGTGTCAAAATCATTTATATATACTACATGCACTTCTGGATTGAATGTATTTTCATTTGATTAGCATTATTAATACAATGCACAATTCGTAGTTATTTAATTACAAATACGAAGATTTCACTTGCAAAATTCAGAATTGGAGCTAAAAAAGTATTAATTTATGGAAAATAAAAAAGTGTAAAATAAAGATATAATATGTAAATTTATAATTTCAATGTATCTGATCAACTCGGTGTGCTACCTTTTTTTTTTTTTTTTTTTTTTTTTTGAGCAAATTGTCTAGAAGTCTAACATTATTTCAAACGATTTATTTAATTGTGTGCTCTTTATGAGGTAAATTAGCACGATTGTCTAATCTTAAGTCGAAGCTGATTTAATTTGATTCATCATTGACTTAACTTGAACTAGGGATCAGTTGACTTGATTCATATGATTTAATTCCATTTGGAGTTGACTTTGACAAAGTCGGTTTTAGTGTTTATCCATTCAATCGATCAATACTAAATACATAGAATGCTAGAAATTTAAGTAGTAGCAAATTTTTCATAAGTTTTTCCGTTCCCATACTCGTGAAAATTGTTAGAGATGTGATGTAACTTTATGGTTCTAATAGGAAAATTAACCCCAGAGAATTCAACGTGCCTCCAGTGGTATTTCCCTCCGGTGGAAACCCTGCGGGCGGCGCCGGTGGAGGCCCCCAGCAACGCAGCCTCCCTACAGCCCCCTTCCAACCCCCGCGATCCGCTAACGCTAGCATCCCATTCATGGCATTCGATGTCAACTCGGCTGCCGCTTCCACTTCATTTTCGACTCCTCAATTCCCCTCCACAATTTCCACCGGAGGCGCTGCCGGATTTGAGGATGACTCACCACTCCTTGAGGAGCTCGGCATAAACACGAAGCAAATTTACCAGAAAACAATTTCTATTCTCATTCCGTTTAGAATCAATGCCCATCTTCACGAAGATGCTGATCTCTCTGGCCCTTTCCTTTTCCTAATGGCATTCGGAATCTTCCAACTCCTTTCCGGAAAGCTCCATTTCGGGATAATCCTCGGCTGGGTTACTGTGGCATCGCTGTTTCTATACATTGTTTTCAATATGTTAGCGGACTGGAATGGGAATCTCGATTCGTACAGGTGTCTTAGCCTGATCGGATACTGTATCTTGCCGATTGTGATACTATCGGCTGTGTCGTTGTTTGTGCCACAGGGCGGGATGGTGATCATGGTGTTGGCGGGGATGTCCGTGATATGGTCAACACGCATTTGCACCCTCCTACTTGTTGAGTTAGCATCCTTTGGGGACGAGCACCGAGGCCTAATCGGGTATGCTTGCTTCTTAATTTACATGATTTTCTCTCTGCTAGTGATTTTCTGATAGAATTACTATTATCAAATTGAGTTGCGTCTCGTCAAATTCTTAGTCTCTGCTAGGGTATTGCTTGTTAGTATCCTGAGGCATTAAGTGAATGGAAGCCAAATCGTGGTAGTGTTGGACAATGAATCGAATTGTTTTTGGCTGTCAAATGAGAATGTGGTAGATAATGTGCTAGACAGACCTCGGAGATTTGTTTTCATATTCGTATTGTGATTGGTGATTATATAATTAGCGTGCTCCTTTTATTTGATGGTATCAAAATGATTAGAAACACTGGAAATTTTTAGCATCTGTGGGCATGGTGTATCAGATTCTTTATTAATTGTTTATTTGTGAACATTATGATTTTCTCCATGTCATAGCTGCCAGAATTTTCAGTGACAATGGATGCAACAAGACTTCGTCCTAGTCATTACCAGGATTTAAAAATTTGCAGAAGGTTAAAAACGAGTGCATTTTTTGAGCAGGAAGATATCTATTAAATGCGATTTAGTTTCGGTTTAGGATGATATGAAATAAATTTAGGAAAAGTTTTAATTCCAAAGGACCTCTAAAGATTTTGAGAACCCACAAAGGCCAACCAATCAGAAATTACTCTTCCCCAAATCCAAAATGTTATGCTTCATAAGCTTCTCTCACATAAAATTAGTGTTAGAACCCCCACCCCCGGCCAATAATCTATGTGAAACCGAGATTTTTATAGTATTGTCAATGTCTAAAGAACTATTTGAGGCTTACGCCATGAGTTTCACCTTGCTTGAGACTTTCACAGAATGCCACGCCTTGAGGTTAAGCCTTAGGGTGACTAAGGTTTTCGCGCATTTATCTTGGTGCCTTTTCTAGGCTTTTTATTTTTGGTATTAGAGGATGACGACAAAGGGTGAAAAAAATTGATATCAATGGGGAGGATCATTCGAGAATAAAGTGTCCGACGATTCCTTAAGAATCCTATCAGTTTGGTACGGGAGAATTATTGTTTTTAGTGTCGATGATTCCAATGAGTAAAGGTTGAGAACTTTAAAATATGGTGCAAAAGATAAAAATTGTAGTTTGAATATAATTACCATTTTAAACATCAACAATTTTTATATATTTATTTTTTAGTTTTTGACATGGGCTTCCTAGCTTTAATATGTCGAGTCTGTGGTTAACACA